AACACCTAGGGGAATAGAGAAGAGAAACAAACAATAATCTCCACTAGTTTCATTAGCAAAGTCAGCAATAATCAAAGATAACAGTAGCACTAGCACACACACCTTTTTAAACAGCTCGCCATTCATGGAGAGCTTGAGAATCACGGTAAAGGCTTGATTAACATGCAACTGCATTGCTTCTAGAAGAACATCTAGAGAAACATATGGGTGTTCACTGTCGCGGTGACTTGAACAACTAATGGAATAGAGAAGAGAAAGAAATACATAATCTCCATTAGTTTCATTAGTAAAGTCAGTCAATAATCAAGGACAACATTAGCATTAGCACACGTACACTGAACACGTGGGAATTATGTTCAATGCATCCAGAAAGTATTCACACCCCTCTCAATGTTTCACAATTTGTTGCATTGCAGTCATCTCCTTCAGTCAAATAAGTTTATTTTTTTCTCCTTGATCTAGACTCAGTGATCCATAATGACAGCTAGGGTGTGAATACTTATGCCCATGTGGATATTTCAGTTTTTTTAACGATTTGCCAAAACTTCAACAATTCTGTATTTTGCTGTCATTATGGGGCACGGATCCTAGATCAGGGAGAAAAAATAAACTTATTTGACTGAAGGACATGACTGCAATGCAACAAATGCTGAAACATTGAGAGGGGTGTGAATACTCTCTGGATGCATTGAACATAATTCCCACGTGTTCATTCATAGTTTTGATGCCTTCAACGAGAATCTACAATGGAAATAGACATGGTAATAAAGGAAACATTGATTGAGAAGGTGTGTCCAAACTTTTGGCCTGTACTGTACCTTTTCAAACAGCTCGCCATTCATGGTTGAAAAGGTCATGAACCAAGTTACAGAAGCTTAGATTAACATGCAACTGCATTGCTTCTAGAAGAACATCTAGAGAAACATATGGGTGTTCACTGTTGCGGTCACTTGAAGGAACATCTAATGGAATAGAGAAGAGAAAGAAATACATAATCTCCATTAGTTTCATTAGTAAAGTCAGTCAATAATCAAGGACAGCAGTAGCATTAGCACTAGCACACATACCTTTTTAAATAGCTTGCCATTCATGGTCTGAGAAGTCCTGAATCAAAGTAAGGACTCTTGGATTCACATGGAGCCATTTTGTTTTTGTTTGTTCCACTTTCGTCCCCTTCTCCGGATTAATAGAGAAGAAACATCTAGGTTAACAGAAGAGAGAAGAAACACATATACCACTATAAATGATACAACCATCTCAACCAGTCAAATCAGTACAAAGGAAAAGACAAAAAAGGTGAGAATATGGGTTACAGTTTTCCATTAATTAAAGTTTAACTGGTAGGCGGGGAGCTAAGGGGCCAACCGTGTACCCCCCACATAATGCAACTTTAAAAATATATATATATTATTAAAGGTCTCATCATGCTTAACATGAATCAGAATGTTTACATTGAAAATTTTGCACTACATGTTTCAGGTAGTCAGTGTATTTCCAAACATTGCAAATTGCATTGCATCTTCCCCTAGTTCATGGAGAGTCATGTTCCTGTAATACGTTTCCATTGCATTTTCAATGTACGGAAATACATTGACTACCTGAAACATGTAGTGCAACCCAAAATGTTCAGTGTTAACATTCTGATTCATGCTCAGCATGGTCAGACTTTGGTCACCAATTTAGGTAACATTTTAACATGTCAGTAAGCCCAGGCTCACACCGACTCCTGTCTTACCGTTGCGGTGCGGTGGGTGCGGCGCCGCAGTGATTCCAAGTCATTAAAAAGACGTAAACCTCTCTCACCGGCTGCTGAGCTGTCCGGCTGCGGTTACCGAGACACTCCGGCGCTGCAGAAAATTCCGCAAGAAAGCTATCCTTGCGGCGTGCCGGAGCCCTCCGCAACAAGCTCTCGCAAAAATCCTTTATTTGGGCCGTGTTATCGCGTGAAGTTACGTGAACTCAAGTGAACTTCTGTTAAATCTCCGGACCTGTTGCCGGAGCCGCAGAGCCGCACCGTAGTCAAAAGGGCGGTGTGAGAGGGGGTGTGCGGGAGTTGCGGTCTCCGTCGGCTCGGTAACTGCACCGGAGCCAGTGTGAGCAAGGGGTGACTCGTAGCTCAAGTGTAAAAACAAGTGTGTGTACTATATGTATGCAAATGAAAAAAAAAACATCTGAAAAAAACTGAAACAATTAAGAGATAGAGGTCAGTGTGTGAATGAGAGAGCATGTGTTCAGTCTTTGGAAGGCAGGTGTGTGTGTGTGTGTGAGAGTGTTCATGTGAATGTGTGAGTGAGTGTGTGAGAGAATGAGTGGGGGTATTTGAAATTAACAGCTGAGACAAAAACAATTACAGATGATGCATGAACATAATTTAAATTAGAAATGAAGAAATTTGGGATATATTTGTGAGTGAGGGTAACTTACCACATACAACAATGGTGGGAGTCAAGGGCACTCTGTTCATGTCCACTTCTCTAGCCAGGCAAGTGTCCTCCACATAATGGAACATCACAACCCTACAATGCAACACAGAACCTTTTAACGTGTGCAATGTTCTCCCGCAAAAATGACAATGAATCATGTCGTGGGGAGCTTGAAACAGGCTAAATAGCTATTAGCTGCTAGCAGCCAGTAGCAACGTGAAGTTCGCCTATCAGCCAGTGAAATCAATAAAAACGCGCCGTTTTGTTTCACAAAATTGTCTTTTGATTTAACCTGATGCTCGAACCAGAGACATTACTTACTGAATCATGGCGTGGGGAGCTTGAAACAGGCAAAATAGCTATTAGCTGCTAGCAGCCAGTAGCAATGTGAAGTTCGCCTATCAGCCATTGAAATCTATAAAAACGCGCTGTTTTGTTTCACAAAATTGTCTTTTGACTTAACCTGATGCTAGAACCAGAGACATTACTTACTCAAACTTGGTGTCTGTTAAGTGCCACTGCCACAGAGCCGAACACGCACGTGTTACCAACCTAGCTAGTAGCCACTGCGTGGGACGCTGACGCTGATGCGCAAATACAGCCTGTGAATGGGCGGAGCTAACATTTAACCAAAATAATTTGATATTCTCCTGCAAAGAACAAAGTATTTGTAAAATAAACTAACCTACATAGCAGGAATAAACAGAAAATAGAATTGTTTACTTACCAATGATTGGTTCCATGAAAAATTCCAATATATGTAGAGCAGCGAATCAATTCAATAAGTCCTCTTCCAGATGGCCATGGTTTGATTCAGCTGTGTTTTCCATTCAAATATCATGGATAGGCATCCCGTGTTAACTAGACCTACATAAAGCTTCCCTTTCCTAATTTATTCAAAAAAAAAAAAGTATTGTCTTTTCAACACATTAACAGTTTTATTTGGTTTAGAGTTTTACGAAATGGTAAACAAAATTAGGTTAGGGATCAGTCGAAGCGCAGCCCAAAGACCCCTTATGATGAGTACCATTAATGGACTCAGTGCTCTCTGACTTTGGGATTCCAGAGGTAGCTGATTGGTAACGGCAGTCCAAGCGACAAGCGGCTCGGGCGGTTGCCGAGGCAACAACTCGTTTTATGAAATGTGCCAAAGGGCCTAGGCCACTGACTTTTATTTAACAGGGCAATGATGTAATTTTAACTGTATGACTTTTTTTTGACATTACAGTTAATTTGTGTTTAAATTACATTAATTTGCTAATTATACAAAAAATTCTGATCTATTCAACATATTCTTACTGTAAAATGAACAGTTTTATTTGGTTAGGAGTTTTACAGTTTATCATTGTAAATTACACAATGCTTCATTGTTTTTGCATCTACAGTTTTTTTATGTCATGATTTTACAGGAATTTACTGTTAATTCTACGGATATTATTTACAGTGATAAGCCCTTTAAGGAATGCATGATCATCATCAGTCTAAGGCAGTTTAACTTATTCAAAACCAACTGTAAAGATTTAAAACAGGGGTTCTCAAACATTTCAACCTGTAAAAAAATGCAACAGCGTGGCCACCACCTAAAAATATGTACACTTAAATGCTTAGTTCCTTATGTATTGCTCCTTATGTATCCATCCATTTTCCGTCACGCTTATCCCAGGCAGGTCGTGAGGGGTGCTGGAGCCTATCTGAAGGCTGTCCAAGGGCGAGAGGAGGGGTACACCCTGGACAGGTCGCCAGTCTATTGCAGTGTTTTTATATATAAATAAAGTAAAGTCATTCATATTTTAATACAATTTAATCACTTAGTTAACTCACATAGTGTATTTAAAAATGTAATGTTTTAGATAAATGAAAGTAACATTTACTTTTATAGTACATACATAGTACATACAATGGTGGTGCAGTCCAATTTATCCCGTGACAATGATTTAAAAAAAACAAACATTTTATAGCCCTCTACTTTGTGACCCCCCAGGGGGGCCCCACTTTGTGAACCCCTGATTAAAAATAACTGCCAGTTTTGGTCCCTTGTGATGTATAGTCAACTAACTATGCTTAATTTATAAATCAGACTCATTAGGAATGGTGTATTGGTTTATGATTGGTCCATCGGCTAATAACAACTAACAATTGTCATAAAAACATGACTCCTCCACCTGAGCTGTGGATCTCTGTATCTCCTACAGTGTTATGCATGCTTGCTTTCACCCTGTTGTTTCACTCATGAGAAACATTAAAAAGAAAAACTCTATGCCAGAACAACTGTACTTATAAAGTTTTATTTATACATGTAAAAATATGATATCTATTTATCATCTCCTTCTAAATAATGTGCCAACTTGTCTCTAGCAGTTTCATGAAATAAATAAAAAACATAAACACATAAATCTGATGTTGCACAGTGATGTATTTCGGAGTTTTAAAGATGTACAGAATAGTGTGTGAGCAGAAATTCCTCTGTGGTTGGAGTGTATCTCTCAGCGCGCTGCGCTCGCTTTTATGCGCGCTGCAGCCTGGAGTCACACTGATAAAGTGACGTTAGTGGTTGACGATGCTAAATGGCAGCACTTGAAATAGCCCATACCTACCAGCCTGCTCTCCCACTTGCTTTTTCGATCGCGACCCCATTTGTAGCGTTTCAGCACTGCGGCGCGCTGGACAGCTCCTCCAATTTTGTATTTAGAGAAAATTCAGATTTAAGGAACAGAATTAAGTTTCACCAGACTTACTTGGATTCATTTAGGAGGAATAAAAAAAATAAATAAAATAAAATAAAAAACAGATTTACACGAGATGGATATTGATCGACCGGCAAATGTGTCTTTTTTTGATTTTGTTGGAGGAGTTCAACTTCTCCAGGGAGAGGACACCAGGACGGTCATGCCGGTCCTCCTGATTGGGATCTGCATTTCCGGCGCCCTGTGCAACTTGTTGGTTCTACTGATCTTCATCCGTGACTTCAGGGACGGAAGGGGCTCCGAGGTGAAGGCTCTTCTCGCCTCTCTGGCTTCCACTGACCTGGTGATCCTTTTGCTGTGCGCACCCGTGCGCGCTGTCACCTACTACAGGCAGACCTGGACCCTGGGGAATTTTGCGTGCCGCACTACGGACTGGTTCCAGCACTCCTGCATAGTCGCGAAAACCTTAATCCTGGCGGCAACCACCAAAGCTAAACATAATTTAATTCCACGCACCGCCGCTTCGGGGCCCCTCTACAACCCGACATGGATCCACGGAGCCCTGGCGTTCATTTGGATAGTGTCCATGATGTTTCCTATCCCGCAGCTGCTCTTTGCGTCGTTGTTGCCGCGTGGCAGCGACTTTGTCTGCGTGTCCGAGATGCCAGCGTGCGCGTCGGACTTTATGAGTTTATTCTACAAGATATACCCAACCGTCACATTTGTGGCTCCTGTCATCTTCACTATCGCTTATTATACCAAGACTCTTTACACAGCGGTGAACCACGCACCAAGTCCGCGACACCAGAGCAAGGTGGTTCTGGTTCTGCTGTGCCTAAGTGGTGCCCTGGGTCTGATGCTGCTGCCCGAGTGGGGCACGTTCACCTGGATAAGACTGGGCTACAACAAACCCCCGGTGGGGCTGCTGATGTTCGCCCAGTTCCTCCTTTACGCATGCAGCTCCCTGTCCCCGGTCATCCTTATGATCATGTACGACGACGTGCGCCAAGGCCTGGTAGCGATCTGGTTCATGGCGACCTGCAGGGGCAGAAAGCGCGCGCCAGCTATGAAGTCTCCGCAGACTGAGGGAAACGGGGCGGAGGTCGGGGCGAACGCTGTGGGTAACGACGTTTCACAGATGAAGGAGGCGAAGTTCCCCGACGTGGAGCACTTCTGGACAGGGCGCAGGAACACGCACGTAGAGGACGAGCAAGATCCAGTTCCGTGGGAGAAAGAGGAAAAGATGTTGTAATAAACTTTTTTAGCAAAAGTTTTTTGTTTTGCTTAGTTTTACTGGCTTTGCGGTGTTTCCATCCACCACTCAGACCGTCTTCAGTCGCCAGTTTGGTATTTTGCGCATGAATAAATGTCACTTAAGCTCATACACTGACATGTTTTTATATTGAACAGAGCCGGCCCAAGGCATTGGTGAACTAGGCAGCTTCTTAGGGCCTCCACACCAGCAGGGGACAGCACATAACACTAGAATTGTTAAGTAAACAAGAGCTAATTTTTTTAGTGTATGAATTGATAAACTTTGCTTAGATTGTTATTTTAAATACTAAATTTTCAGTATCTAAAATCCTAAACCATAACCAGTGCAGTCTACGAAGACATCATTTAGCAGTAAAATAGGTTCTGTCAATTTGTTTTTATATTATTTAACTTTAGACTTTTTTTACTGCTTTTTTTTTTCTGCTCCTTTTATTATTATTTTCATTACTGAGTCAAATTAATTTAACGTGGTAACTGAAAATACAATTTAAATATTTAACGGAAAAATTTACATGTTTTTATTACTTATTCTAATGCATAAATATACAAAGAAAATTCCATAGTGAAAGGGTTAAAAAAGTGAAAACAAAATACATAAAGCCTTATTTTTGTCAGTATATACATTAGGCAATGTTCCTCTATACGAGATATATTTCTAAGTTTGCAATTTATTTATTTGCTTTTCAATGCATACTGAGTTTTAAAACAGTCTCTATTTTACAAATAAAAAAAAATCTGTTTTTTTAGGTCTGCATTAATTTTTTTCAATGGATAGTCCTACTGAGGATATCTAAACGTGCATAGAAAAGGGTGAAAATTCCCATTTATGAGCTAAAGTAGCCACAAATAAATAAATAAATAACCTTAAATGATTTGTTTTAGAAATGTTGGACACATATACTTTAAGGTACAATTTATTATTAATTAATAAGGTTTAATTTTGGAGAAGAGTATGAATAATCAAAATATTTCTATGACATTCTTCATCACTGGTTAGATATTGTTTTTACTATGTGAAGTAAGTGCAATTCAAGTGATGCAATAATCTGTCAATCATTGTAATAAATAGTTTGATTGAAGCTTTTGTGGTAAATTATAAGGGTTATTTTATATAATGCATAATATAGGGGAGGGTATGTTAGTTTAGCTGCAGGGCCCCAGATGCGGATCCCAGGAAGCCTTGGACTGGCCCTGTTTTATTCAATGTTTTAAACATTTGTTGTAAATATTAATTCATGCTTGAAGCTTAGATGCTCTAACAGATTAATAGTCGGGGCTGTTTGTACAGAAAGAACGACTGTAAATATGGAAGCTCCAGAGATCAAGTTGTAATTCTCATTGTGTGACACATAACATGAGTATTAAAACAGTCTATATCAGGGCTGTCATTGTCTGTTTTTTGTTTTTTTCTTTCTCATGGCTATTAAAGGTTACTTTAATCAGAGATGAAATGTAATTCGACATGGATCAAATCTCTCCATTTAATGGAGAATGCTCTGAGGTCACATGTACAGTTCAGAGATCCTTTTTACCTTATTAGATTCACAACTAATCCACTGGTGCAATTTGGGTCACGTCATATATACTGTTTGTGTGAAAGCATCATTTCAAAGATTTGCTGAGCATGTGAAAGCTGCTCTTGCTTCCTCCAGTTTCAAACAATAGAATATATAAATATTTTCATTCCTTTTATTTTTATATTTTCCTTCATTCATTCTTTACTTTTAATCAGCAAACACACATGATTTATACACAATTTCATATTTTGTTGTATTTATATTTTTTTGTTTGTGTTGTAGAATTTAACATTTTTTTTGTTTGTTTGTTTTTGTGAGGTTAAGGGGGTATTTCTTTTAAAAAGTTCTAGCTTTTAACCTGTGATATTATAATAGCGCTACTGCTGGTCTGTGAGGACATTACCTATAAAAGCCTGTTAATCATTTGTAAAGAAATGTCTCATCCCTGCAGCTTCATTTGCAGCATTACAAGATTTTATTGAAAGGTGGAAGCTAATAGTTAATTGGGGTAGCCTGTTGGGGTAGCTTAGTGACATTATTTTGGATTTTTTATTATTATTATTATTATTAATAATAATAATAATAATAATAATAATAATAATAATAATAATAATAATAATAATAATAATAATAATAATTATAATAATTATAATAATAATAATTGAACTTTATTGATCTCACACCAGAGTAATTTACCTCTGCATTTAATCCATCCCCTTCGGGAGCAATGGGCTGCCATTGTGTGGCACCCAGGGAGCAGTATGGGGTTAAGGGTCTTGCTCAGGCTTTGGGGACCGAACCGGGTACTTGTAATCTTCTCAGAGCACGATCGCACTGCTCTAACCACTAGGCCACCACTCCCCCTACAGCGTCTTCCTTTTTTTTCTACTTTATGTAGTGGATCAGTGGATCTATTTAGGTGAAATCATCTGGCAGCAGGTGAGGATGTCTAAAAATGTTGCTCTATTAGATATAATGCAGTCATTGTCTCATGGGATGCAGTTTGATTCTGTCTCTTTTTACATGGTAAATACCATGTGTCTGTTTCCAGCTGCTTCGGATGTTGTCATCCCAATAAACGGTCGTTATCCCACAGAATGGCTTCAGATTGTGACAGTAGGCTCATTTGGTTATCAATGAATCCTAATCCTAATTCCTTTCCCCCCACATAATTAATTAATCTACTTATGTGTAATCTGAAAATAATTTCAGTAAAATTAAAATGATCCACATCTCGCTCATATTAAACAAACCAAAGACAAACCAAGAGCAATCTCATGCCCTATCAACTGAGTTGTAGAATCCTTTCCCTATAAATATTTAAATCTGAAAAAAGTGCTGATCATTCTTTAATAAGAGCGTCATCAAGCGGACATGCAATGTTTGTTTTTCAAAACTAATACGTCTAGCACAGCGTTTTTCAACCCTGGTCCTCAAGGCACACTGTTCTAAATGTTTTGGATGTTTCTGAGCTTCAGCACACCTGATTCAGATGATTGCAGTTTATCAAAGCCTGATAATCTGCTATTAATTGATAACAGGTGTGTGAAAGCTGGGAAACATCTAAAAGATGCAGGACAGTGTGCCTTGAGGACCAGGGATAAAAAACGCTGGTCTAGCGGACCTAGTGAATGATTTGTTTCTTTCTTTATGCCAAATTATCGGATAAAATCAGAAAATAAAATAGCGTGACTGGCTGTAAGGAGAGCAGAGACAGATGGCACTCTGAGTTTCCCGAAGAAAACCTGCAACCAATCAGGTTAGCTCTGGGGAGAATGTTACTACGGTGACTGAAACAGAGGTTGAGGAAACTCTCTCTCCCTCTCTTTTCCCATATTTCAAGTTTTGAAAATTTTAGTTTTCAGTAGTGTTGCACCGACACCGATACCAGTATCGGGTGGAGCCCCGATCCAGCACTAAAATGGTGGTATCGGCGAGTACCAACAAATAGGGCACCGATACCATGTTGAGAGATAAAAGTTTATTCAACTATTGTCACCCATTTCAGGTAGGCAATGAAAAGTTCTACTGGATTCACTTTGTATTAGTCTTTTTTCTTGCTTCATAAAGGCATACAGCAGCGTGTAAAGGCATGATGGCAATTATTTTGCATCCAAGTAGTATGCAATTCTTCATATATACACACTCACATAAATTTTTCAAACAGATGGTATCGATATAGTATTTGTATCGGCCAATACTGCACAGCCAGGTATCGGTATCTGGGCCGAAAAATGGCATCGTCACAACACTAGTTTTCAGTAAACCGGCTTTGTGAAACAGACTCCAGGTGTACAGCTAAATTTTTCTCAGAGCTGCTGGCTCTCAGCAAGGCGCAGCACAGGAGGGAAATATTAGCACACCAGTTACAGACTGCTCTTGTATGAGCCAACAGAACTGACAGAGTCCTGGATAGGGGATAAAACTTTTTTAGAAAAGCTGAGCCAGCGTCGGGTTGCGGCTGTTTCAAACCTATTTTGTGGTTGCCATGACCCTAATGACTGAGACTTTGCACAGACATTGTTGCAGTAAATGAGTTTCTACAGTGTTCTCTAGTACTGACTTTTTTAAAACACATTGCTTTTATTTTGAACTTTGTTGTTAAATGATTCTTTGGTGATAGGGCGATAATGCAAATGATGTTGCATTGGTAAAAAAAAAAAAAAAAAAAACCTTAGGAAACATCTGATTACTAACAAAATATAACTAGAAATATTCTGGATTCAAACTTGCATAGACAGAATCATTTCTTCCTCATCTCCTTTTTTCATTGCTTTCTGGCAGACTGTCAGATTAAAAGGTTGTGCCCACACCACTCCGTGCAGTGGTAGGAGGTCGTCTCAAAGCACCCAGACCTCTGTGCTCCAGTTCACAATCCACCTCCAGGATCCAATTAGAGGTAATCTCTAATGGTTGCTCTAACACACAATATTATGAACATCTAAACACACATCCAGGTTTTCATAGACTGGGCTATAATTAGGTCCAACAGTGAATGTCACTGAATAATGTTACAGCATTTAGATCAGTATTTAACATTCTACCTACGCAAGAAGGACATCTGATACTGTAGCTTTGCTAAAAATGTTTTACATATAACTTGTATGCTTTGTTCTTCAAATGCTGGTTATGATTTTCTATGTCACTCCAGGTGTGTTTTATTAGCTTCAGTTGAAAAAGCATGAAAAAGTATCAGTTAAATTTAAAATTTTCCATGTTGAAACCAAAATTTTCCCTTGTTTTAGTCTGAATGTATATAGAGAAGGCCAGATTTGAAGGCGATTACATCATGGCGTTGTGCCGAGGTCTGGTCGGTTTCCAAATTTCCTTGTTATGCAGCCAACAAATGCGTCCTTCTTTTTGCCCAATCTGAAGGGTGGGTCCTGTGTATCCTATCTATCCTTGGTTATCCCAGAATTCATTGCGTGACCAAGTAGGCCGGCTGCTCCCTGATCAGAGGAAAAAGGTTCTTGGCGCCGAACAGAGGTAAATATTGGAAGTTCAGTTTAATTTAATACAAGTATGTGAATAGTTCCCTCTGAAATTAATGAAAATAGTTGCTTTAAATGTTTATTGAGTCATATATGTGGCAGTAATGTTTGATTTATCTAAAGGTTTTTATCTGTTACTGTTTAAATGGGGTTGGCTGTAATTTAAGGACAGATTCTAATATATCTGCACTATGAGACTATAAATCTGATATGATTTGTATATTTTAATTGCTATTTTGCATAGTTTGCTTATCTGAATATTTTTGTTGTTGAATATAAGAGATTTTGCAAATATATTTTTTATAAATACATTTAGATTTACTTATATCTTCATACCCCTTTTATAGAATAGAATAGAATAGAATAGAATAGAATAGAATAGAATAGAATAGAAAATCTCTTTATTGTCCCACAATGGGGACATTCTGGTGCTTCCAGCAGGAAAAAAGATTATAGGAAAAAAATGGTCAGAATACTGCAATGTAAAGTGTTTTAACAATAAAAACTGTGCACCTGGAGAATAAATAACCAATATACAGGAAAGTTTGAGTGTAGACTTTGTTCACTTTTCAATAAAAAAAAGAAAAACATTTTTAAAAAGTTACAGTTTTGAAAAGTTTGAAATTCATACTTTTCCTGCTTTGTGTGTTAACTGTCATGGTTGCTAAAGGATTGCCGAAGGCTAGATCGGTTTGAATTCATGGCCAAAACTCTTCCAATCTCCTTATTTTAGAGGGCGACAGCGGCGTTGGATGTAGGAGTTTGCCCTGAAATTGAAGGATTGACGGTTCATTGTCGTTGTGTCCTTGGGCAAGACACTTCACCTGCATTGTCTACTGATGGCCCCGCTTCTGTCAGTGAGCCCCAGGGCAGCTGTGGCTATAATGTAGCTTGCCACCATCAGTGTGTGAGTGCGTGAATGGGTGAATGAATGTAGTGTAAAACGATTTGGTCAAGTCTCCTGACTTGAAAAAAGGCGCTATATAAGTACATGCCATTTACCATGCCAATTATTTTCACTGACTTCGAAGGATCCAGTCCATGTAGAGTGCTCCCTTGTAAAACGAAGCTCATAAATTTGAATGCACCCAAAATTTTTATTTAATTAATTTCACTCTCTAATTGTTCCTTGTTTTCTGTTTCATTCTTGCAGTCACGTTTAATTGTGCTTAGAGTTCTGACAATACGAGGCATAGTTTAAGAGAATGTGCCCATTTTAAAGAAAAACTGTATTGGACAGGCATTAGGATATAAAACTGTTATTTTCTAAAAAAAATTGTGTTAAATTTTCAGCAAGACAGATGTTTAAAGCCCTACAATGGAAAAAATAAAAGCCTATGCGTATTTTGAACTGTGAAATCAAAGTCCAGACTAATATTCAATTAACCGTAGTGGCGGAGCTATACCTGAAAAAAATGGCAAACTAGATATTTTCCCAAAATGTATTTACTCAAAAAGATTGAATACAATTTCTCATGGTGCAGCCCTTGGGTTCATTGCTGTGGCTGAATGGGGCTTTAGTAACATAGTCTCCGGGTTCTACCAACAGGGCTATCATCTGCCCATCAAGAGAGGGTTCTGCTGTCACCGTTTCTGCCCTCATTGTTTCCAATAACTATGGGGTCCTTTGGAAACCTGAGTATCCGTTGCCTTCTGTATCAGCCCTTTGCACTTTGGTGCTGGTCTGGG